AGTTCATGCTTTTGCTAGATTGCATGCTTAATCTTGTACAAAAAGCAGCGGAGATCTCTATATTGGTAAAACATTAATACTAAAATTTTCTGCTTAATACATCGTCTCCAGCAAAATTTGTTAGAAATTCTTGCATGGAATTTGGCTTCAATATATGCACAAGTTTCAACTGCACAATAGAACAAATTCCAACTTTACGCCATCATCATAAACCGTGTGAATCTCTGTGATATGGATATGCAGCAGTGACTGTCGTAGGCAACAAACTTGTGGCTGATTAATATGCACATAGTGATCATTTTGATATGTTTGAACATTTCTCATAAAAGCAAGCCATGAAATTCCAAACAGAACCTGGAAAGATAAAGTGATAGGTACACTTTTTATAGTAAACAAATCAGACATCTGTTTGTTGTCGGAGGTAACAATGTGCTTCAACTCAGAAACGCTCGGAATGTTGCAATAGAAAAGTGTACTCGCGTTGTTTCTTCCCTTGCCTGCTGCAGTTACTGTAGTTTTTGCCCGTAGGTATCAGGTGCGCTGCTACCATTTCAACATTTGTAACAGTTAACTTCATAGAAAAGCAAAATAACATGCAGAAGCTGAACTCAGGAGGGCATGATATATTGAAAGAATTGACTGCAGTTAAAACTGTTTAAATTGAAAAGACGTAAATTAACCCTTACTTCCTCCTTCTTGACAGCTTCTATCGGTTTGCCGTCTGTCCCAATATCGACATAATGTTCTTCGTCATCATCCTCACCCAGTTTGGCATTCTGTATCGCTACGCGCTAAACAACTATGTGAAACGGAATGAAATGGCCTTTTAACACACAGTAAAGCCTACAATTAATGAAAGTGACCAAATAATCTCAAATATATACAGCTGGCTGTGCATGAGCTTATTAGTAAAATATGAAAACTGACATCAATGTGCTTCTCCACTATAACCAAGCCTTTTCTAGTCTCACAGAGCCTTGAGATCAGTATTAAAATACCGGCAGTCAGAGCAGGAGTAGCACATGTGGCGGCCTAAACATAGGCTTTTATTAGAAGAACAATTTGTAGATTAACAAAAACCGCCTACTTGGAGCAGCCGTTTTACAAAGGAGCGCACACGATATTCAGAGGGATCCACCTTCAACACTTTGAAGAGAAGCAACAGAAGTTGATTATAGCTTGAAGGAGGCACGTCCACAAGCAACTTTCGATATAAGGCTGTGTAAAATCGGTCAGAGAGTGACTCGCTGAAAAACGAAAACAAAGTTCACTTGATTGGAATTTCCACCAAACCATCCTGGTTAGATATGCGATAAGTTGTTATCAAAAAACACACTGACAAAGGAAGAATACTCTCGAAGTGGCAAATCAGAAAGAGGAAAAAACTTGTATATGGTATAGCTAGGAACATTGACTATCCGTTATGAATATTGAGCGTTTTCTTTAAGTTTTACTCCACCAAAAATATTCTGCACGTGTGTCAGTAACTGCTTTGAGCTAAAACAAGAAAAAACATATAGGGTTATATTTGAGAATAAACACTACAATTGCCAGATTTGTGTTGCTCTTTCGGAAAAATTAAAGTTCGAGCATTTTGTTGGACATACTATTAACCATGACTAAGAAAAAAT